CCCTGTGAGGGGGAGGGAAGACCTCCAAGCCCGTCTCCCCGTCCAGCGCCGTGCCCAAGCCGTGCCCCCAAACCAGGTAACCCACAAAAGGGGGGACGACACTGCCCCGTTTCCCCGGGAAATAAAGACGACCCGGCGCGCTTTCTCCAGCGCTGCACGCTTTGGCACCCCATAAGAAGGGCCTCCATAAAAACCGCACCCGGAGACCCTTGCGCCCGAACTGCAGCCCCCGCACCCACCATCACCCCCCTCACACCTCTTCCTCTGCACGGAAGAAAGTGATGTTTCTCCCACAAACACACACAAACGCACCTGGGGCCAAGAGGGCGACCGCAGCCTCGCCCCGCGGGGGAGCCCCCCTCCCGGCTCCAATGCCCAGCAGGGCAAGTTCGCACCCGAAGGCCACCGTCGCCTCCTCGGTTCTCTCGCCGTGCGTGAGGAGGACCTGCTGGGAAAGAGGGCGCGGCCTTCCCTGGGCCAGACCCACGCGATCTGCCTAAGCCGGCCCACACGCCGGCCTCCTCTCCCGGATCCGCTCAGGATTTGTGGGTGGAGAGAATCAGGATGCGCGGCGGCTGCGGCGGCGTTCCCAGGCTCGGCGGCGGGTATTGTTTGCCGCTCCCCCGTCACCAGGGCGTGTGTCCCTCCAAAGGGCTGCTACGCTCGCATCCCATTTTTGCAGTGCAGCCAATGCAGCGATCTCCCTTGCTCCCCGATTTCCCCCATTATTTTCTGCACCTGCTCTTTCTGTTTAGTATCTTGGCGGTTTTCTTCTATGGGAGACTTTCCCCCACCCCACCCTCAGTCATCACCCAGTCAGTTTCTAATTTAATTTGCAGTTTAGCATACTGCAGGACCGCACAAGCTGAAATACCAGAACGTGCAGTAAACGGGAACTGCAGGCAAAAACAACACTAAAAAAATAGTGCTGTTAGTAACACAATGTGGTAAAAGGTCTATAAAGAACAAGTTGCAGTTTCCAGTTCTTACATAATGAATTCTACAGGAGACACAACTTACAAGATCCCATCTTACATTGCACAATATTTAGTTATACTTAACATGTTACCCTGACTTTGCATCATTTTTCCACTTTTCTGTGCCTTGTCACAGTAACTTGCCAGTGAAAAAGAAAATGTTGCTCAGCAACTGGATTTTGGGCAGAGCTTGTTGTAAATAATACAGCACTTTTTTCTTCAAATCTGTTTGACGTGAAACGTGGTTGAATCAACCAGAAATAATGACTCAGCAGCATTTGAACTACCTAGATTTTCTTTTCTGTGGGTGGGGCATATTTTTTATCAGGAGAGCTGTGTTTGTGTTTCAAACACGGCACTCTCTGTCCAGCTAAGCTATTTAAAAAATTTTCCCCAAATAACATGCTCTGGAATCTTATACACTTCCAAGAATAGCAAGCATGAATAAGATTGAACAAAATGCTATAGTTCTCTTGTATATGATGAATTCTGAAAATGTCCGCAAACATTTGAGTACATAATCTGATAGCTCAGTGAGATGGGTACCTGGCTGTTGACCCAGATAAGGAATTTGATTCTGTTCTGTGTCTCTTGGGAGAAGAGCCAGCATGTGTAGCCTTGAGTAAGCTGCATAGTCAGAAAGTGTACTCAGAAGAAGGAAACAATAAACGATTTCTGAGTACTTTCTAACTAGAAAACCTGGAAAGGGTCATCACATGTCAGAATTGACTTGATACCATGTGATTATTGTTACCATTTTATAGCTCATTTTTTAGTAATTCTGCAATTAATTGAATTTACATTATCTCCTTTTTAAATTTGATAATTCAAAGCCAAAGAAAAGTCCTTATATTAAAACCTTTTGCTAAATGTCACATCAAACTGGGGAGATCAAACACAAATAGATTTGGTACCTAGCAAGTTGTTTTCCAAAACATGACAAAAAAACCAGAATCTTTTACTTCACTGAAACAACAGGTATCCCATGAAAAGCACACAGCGTTCCTGCTGTGAGTACCAGGCACTTCCTTAATAATGTACGAACCCTAAAGTATTAGATTCCATAGAACATGAGCTACTGACAACTTCATTTTCCACCAACACTAAACATGAATACTCAAGTAAATAATAAAGTTCAGGTTGTTAATTTGCGCTTGTTTCATATTGAAATTATTTCCATGAAGTAACCTTTGGACCACATATTTTAGCTGCCCAGAAATAGATGTTAAACATTGTGCTGAGAAAATTATCTTCCTAATGGTGTGGCCCATCTCTTATCAAAAGAAGTTAATTCAGTTATTTGAAATCTCTCTGCAAAAAACAAACAAGTCCAACAATGGAAGTCGAAAGCAGGAGAGCTCATAAATCCACTGAAGAATTTTGACTAAAGGGCAACTGATACTGAAATCTACAATTCAGCATATTAGTCATGTTCTTTAAAACAGTCCAAGTGGAAGAAATAAAAGATAAAGAAGCCCAAGATGAAAAAAGGACTGAGATCTACAAAGGGACCTAATTTTGTTTTTGACTAGTGAATCTTAACATTGTATAAATTGGGACTATTTAATCCAAGTTGGGAAGCAGCCACTCAGTCAATCTTTTTAAAACCTGAGCTTCTCAGTTCAGGAAGGTTTTGTTGGCTAACTCAACTTATCCAATGGGAGGTTCAAGGCTTTTTTTTTTCAGTAGCAACATCAGGCAACCCTTTGATTCTTGATTTGCTTGGAAATCTCCCACGCGCTGCCCGCCTCACAGAAGAACGTTTCTATGTAAATCCTCCACTTCCAGTTCCCACATGCTCCTGTGCACGGGATTGTCTGAAAGGTCCATCATCTTCACCGCACGAAGGGTAGGCTCCGGCTGGCAAGACTGCACCAAGCCCATCACCATCACGTACTTCCCGGCGCTGAGGCAAGGGCGCCCCTTGGGGACGTTTTCCGCCCCCTGAACCACAAAAGAGCCGCTTTGGTCCCGCAGCCGCACCGTGGAGCCGCCCGGCTCTACCTTTAACACGGTGCCCTGCATCCACACCAAGGGAACCGCCACCGCAGGACGCCCGTACTCCTCCCGGTCCAACAGCCACGCACCGCCAGAGGCCCGGCGGCACCGCCTCAACTGCGCCGCCGTGACCTTCACCGGCGGCGGCGGCTGCACAGGATGGCGCTCTTCCGCCATGACGCCTCCTTCTTTTTCCCGCCAACTTTTCGCCTGGCCCAAAGGATTGCGGGCCTTGGAACCTCGCCCCTCCCACTGACGTCACGGCCATTGAGGGCGGGATGTGTTCTCTGTGACCGTAGACACAAAAACTATAGAAAAGCTAGTTCATCTTTCCACTTAGAGTTCACGGCATATAGTATCTTAGATTTTCCTAATAGAATGCGGAAGATTTGGCACTATATACGTACCTCTGTATCCATAGGGAGCCTATCCCAATGATGTCTTTTTAAAAACAAGTTTGAGGAGGTGCGTCGCTGGTCTTCTTTTTCTTATCTCTACTGCCACATGACGGTCGGCTGGGTCCTCTCTTCTGTGCCGGTCGGGAGAAGGGCGGATTCATCTATCCCAAACAATGGAGGGTGTAAGGTTTTCACGGCCCCCTCCTTCCTCAGTTGGTATCGTCCAAGGAGGAGGCGGGCCACCGAAAAAGAGACGAGAAAGGGTGCGGAATGTTGATAGCGTTGCTTAGCAACGGATAGGAGGATGGAGACCGGCAGTGGGTGAGCGATTAACGAGTGAGATGTTTTGGGAGGCAATTGAAACACCGGGTTTTAGATTACGGGGACGGACACATACGTTCTGCCAGCGAGGGATTTCCCTTTAAACCTCTGAATAAAGGGAAGGGAATGATAACCAGTGTTCTTCGGAGGATGGCATGATTTTCAATGTGTTAATAGACCTCTGTGTAGAAACGCTCTAGTGCCCATTTTAAATTAACAGAGATTTTAGACCTTGTTTTTAAGACCCCAGCGCCTCTTCTAAACTGTATACCCTGGAAAAGAAAGCGGGAGGGATTGACCCCACGGATTTACTCTCATTAAGGTTTTTAAACTGCAGATCTCTGTATAGACTCGTAGTTGCCGATTTCTGTTGTTTAGTCGTTAAGTCGTTTCCGACTCTTCGTGACCCCATGAACCAGAGCAGGCCAGTCCCTCCTGTCTTCCACTATCTCCTGGAGTTGGGTCAAATTCATGTTGGTAGTTTCAATGACACTGTCCAACCATCTCATCCTCTGTTGTCCACTTCTCCTCTTGCCTTCACACTTTCCCAAAATCAGGAGTTTTCCAGGGAGTCTTCCTTTTCATCAGATGGCCAAAGTATTGGAGCCTCAGCTTCAGGATCTGTCCTTCCAGTGAGCATTCAGAGTTGATTTCCTTCAGAATAGGTAGGTTTGTTCTTTTTGCAGTCCAGGGGACTTTCAAGAGCTTCCTCCAGCAGCACAATTCAAAAGCATCAATTCTTCGGTGGTCAGCTTTCTTTATGGTCCAGATCTCACTTCTGTACATCACTATAGGAAAAACCATAGCTTTGACTATGCGGACTTTTGTTGGCAAGGTGATGTCTCTGCTTTTTAAGATGCTGTCAAGGTTTGTCATTGCTTTCTTCCCAAGAAGCAGGTGTCTTTTAATTTCATGGCTGCTGTCACCATCTGCATCATGGAGCCCTAGAAAGTAAAATCTGTCACTGCCTCCATATCTTCCCCTTTCTATTTGCCAAGAGGTGATGGGACCAGTGGCCATGATCCTTTTTTTTATGTTGAGCTTCATACCATTTTTGCAATCTCCTCTTTCACCCTCATTAAGAGGTTCATTAATTCCTCCTCACTTTCTGCTACCAGAGTGGCATCATCTGCATATCTGAAGTTGTTGATATTTCTCCTGGCAATCTTAATTCCGGTTTGGGATTCATCCCAATCCAGCCTTTCGCATGATGTATTCTGCATATAAGTTAAAAAAAGCACGAGGCAATATACAGCCTTGTCGTACTCCTTCCCAATTTTGAACCAATTAGTTGTTTCATATCCAGTTCTAACTGTTGCTTCCTGTCCCACATATAGATTTCTCAGCAGATAGATAAATGGTGAGGCACTCCCATTTCTTTAAGGACTTGCCATAGTTTGCTGTGGTCGACACAGTCAAAGGCTTTTGCATAGTCAAAGAAGCAGAAGTAGATGTTTTTCTGGAGCTCTCTGGCTTTCTCCATAATCCAGTGCATGTTAGCAATTTGGTCTCTAGTTCCTCTGCCGCTTGGACATCCAGCTTGTACTTCTGCCGAAGCCTGCCTTGGAGGATTTTGAGCATAATCTTGCTAGCATGTGAAATAAGTGCAATTGTACGGTAGTTGGAGCATTCTTTGGCACTGCCCTTCCTTGGAATTGGGATGTAGACTGATCTCTTCCAATCCTCTGGCCACTGCTGAGTTTTCCAAACTTGCTGGCATATTGAGTGTAGCACCTTAACAGTGTCATATTTAAATAGTTCGACTAGAATGCCGTCAGCTCCACTAGCCTTGTTGTTAGCCATGCTTTCTAAGGCTCACTTGACTTCACTCTCCAGGATGTCTGGCTCAAGGTCAGCAGCCACACTATCTGGATTGTCCAGGATATCCAGATCTTTCTGGTATAATTCCTCTGTATCTTCAGCTCTTGTCTCTTAACAGTTCTTCAGCATAAATCTGTAATGCTGGTGTATCAAAATGTTTGTTTTTTCTTTTTCTTTTTTTTTTGCTACACTAAGGCTAGCATACATGTGTATTGTTGTTGGCTATTGCCTTCCTTTGTTTTGTAAATTGGCATTAATATGAAACCCACACCAAAGACTCCATAAAGATGCTTCTTAACGATGTTGAAATAATCTGTTTTGTTTTAATTTAAATTGCAGTGCTGAATCAGAGATTGCAGACGATGAAAATAAACAGCTGCTTACAAAAGATGAAGAGGTAATTTTGTAAATTTGAGGATTTTGATGTTACGGAAAAGTAAAAATATACAAATGTAGTGCCATATAAGTTTTGAAGGCACAATGTTCGAACTAAGAAATTTACTTGCACATTTAATACAACCAATAATCTGGCAAGAGATGCTGTCACACATGTTCTTTCTTAACAAATTATCCTGCCCTTCCATTTCCCCTTGTACTGGAGGAAGCAACCATTCAAAACCTTCATGATTCAGTCTGAGAGAAAGGTCTGCTGAGTCTACCCTTCTCTATTAGGTCGATTCTTGGGAAAATGTTTCTAGAAAAGAATAGATAAGCGATGTAAATATTAATTCTACGTATCTGTTAAGTGCACTAAGTGCTTTTGCAATCCTGATTTCATCTTCATATTCTGGTATCACACAATTATGCACATATATTTTCTTTTACTCTGCAAATAAATTAAGAAGACTTACTAAAACATGCTGTGGACTGTTGTGTCCAGATAGTGGGATGCAGGAGCCCTGGAGGATAATATCTTCTTGCTATCCATTTTGACGGAGCCCCATTCTTTCAGCCCGCATGTTTCACCATAAATCCTCAGAACTATGAAGGGAAATCTCCCCCACCCCACCTGCAGTTTAAAGCAGAAAGATGGAAATTAGGCTTCTATCTGCTTCCAGTGGTGCCAGGGATTTAAAATGAAATGCTCCTCTAGATTGAAAAGCTGGGTGGAACCGAAACATTTTCTTCTTCTACCCTGGCTGGCATGAGGCTGCATGGTGTAGAGTGAGGCAGCAGATCCCCCCACAGTGTTCCTTCCTGAAACTACTTAAGATAGAAGTATTACATCTAAAATCTAATTTAATTGAGATCTATTGGTTTGTTTTTGCTAAATACCTTTTGGAAGTCATGTCCTGAAATGTAGAGAGATGGTTAATATTTTCAGCAAAACTGTGATACATTAATGTGTTTAATATACAGTATTTAACACATAGTGAGGATATACACTTACAGACTGTAACGAGATTTTCAGGTGAAAAGACATTGTACGTATTATTAGTTGTGCATTCAGACTCCTCTTTTTTCCATATTTTTTCTGTGCATATTACTGAATAACCTAAGCCGGTGAAAGATACAAGCAGCCAAAGCCAAGATGATGCTCACAGCAGCAGAGTTATTTATGATATTTTAGCCAGACAACAATTCTTTACATTTACAAATATATGTTTTAGTAGAAGATACTACAAATACGTGTTTTTTTTAAAAAAAGGTTATTGTTTTACTGTGTTGTAAACTACCAGAGTGGCCTTTTAGCCAGATGGGCAGTATAGAAATCAAATAAATAAATAAATAATAAATACCTTCGTATTCAAGTATGACAAAATATTTCTCCTTTTCTCTTTATTATGTCCCTCTGCACTTGCTTTATATAAGATAAATGCAAGAAACCTGAAATGTTTACATAAGGCCATTCTGCATGTCGCCTCAAAACAATAAAAAAGTGACTTCCATTTCTGACTTTTTTTAGACTTCAGATTCCCATATTATGACACTCAAGTCAAAATGAAAAAAAATGCAGAGCAAGTTAAGCATGTTTTTTTAATTGTTACATTTAGTATTTAACTGAATGGTGCACTTCCTATATGGTGAAAACATGCCCCACCTTTATATTTCCTTTTAGTGTTCAGCCTTCAGGTTTTGATTTGTTCTAATTGCAGGCAGAGGACAGCAGTGCCAAAGAGGAAGGGGAAGGAGCAGCTCCCCCAGTGGTCATGGAAGAAGAGGGAGAACATGCTCTTACAGAGGAAGGGACAGAAGCTGGTGCTGCTTCAGAGTTCACAGAAAAAGGGACAGAAGGTGATCTTGCATCAACCATAGAAGGAGGAATAGGCGGGTTGCTTGCAACAGCCACAGAAGAAGAGGTAGGGGCACTTCCTGTGGTGGCCATGGAAGATGAGACTGGAAGTGTCCCTACAGAGGCTATGGAAGAGGGGGCTGGAGGTCCTCCAGTGGTGACCACAGAAGAAGGGGCAGGAGGTGCTTCTGCAGAGCCCTTGGAAAATGAGACAGAAGGTATTCCTGAAATGACCATGGAAGAGACTGCGCCCAGCATGATGACAAGTCAAGATGTTCCTGAGGATAGAGGGCCCACCTTTGAAAAGGTGTGTGACATCGAATGTGGTTCATACTCAGAAGTGGTTTACCATTGCAGTCTGAAACAGGCATTTAAATGCTCTGCTTGTGGGCTTCCTATTGGGGGATCTGGTTGGCCCCTGTGAAAAAAGAATGCTTGACCAACCAGCCCTTTGGTCCAATCCAGCAGGGCTCTTGTTATGCTGTGCATTAGTAACAAACTTCCAATCTGTACTTTGCAACTTTGGAACTCTCTCTCCCCCCAACACCCCTCTTTTTGAAAATGTAAGCACTTATGGGATTCCAACTTCTTTCTTCACATGTACCTCAGAGGCAGTCCACTTCAGCTGTAGTTGATGAACTCATTTCCAGTGCCTTGAAATAATTCTTTCATTTATATTTTGCTACAAACAGACAGTGGTTGTTGTGGGCTTTCGGGGCTGTTTGGCCGTGTTCTTAAGGTTTTTCTTCCTGTCCTCTGAAGATGCCAGCCACAAAGACTGGCGAAACATTAGGGAAAAAAAACCCTTAAGAACATGGCCAAACAGCCCGGAAAACCTGCAACAACCGTCAGATCCCGGCCGTGGAAGCCTTCAAGAACACATACAGACAATTTTGGCTCCCTTTTTTGTAGCCCACTTCTGATAATCTCATAATTTATTTCAGGAACAGGTTTCTGAGGTTTTCTCAGAGGAGGCTCAAGTGGCCAATATTCCTTCCAGAGTATTCAGTGAGGCCTCTCCTTCATCTTCAGGAGCCAGCAGCCTGAGATCTGAAGTGGCAGAGCTGTCAGAGGAGCGTTTCGTATCAGGTAGCAGCCATTGTCTTCTGGAAGATGACTTTTCTCCCCACTGAAGCATGCTTTGAATCCAATTGATAATAAATAATTTTGCATTTAAAGTCTGATGCCAATGTCAAGCTATCTCCTTGACTTTCCACCGTGTTATTGTCTGCCTTGTTGTTGTTATAGTAGTTATTTCAGTGTTCTTTAGACATCCAAATAATTTGGATAATAAAATAATGATTAACAGCAATTATATTTTTACATAAGTAAACAATGAATAGTTGGTGAAGGACAACTACATAAAAAGAATCTGAGCACTGTTGATTAATTACATTGATGTAAGTGCAGTGGGACAAATTGCAGCAGCAAATTACCACTAGTTAAAAGGTGGTGCTAGTATTTTTTGTCGTGCGCCAAGTAACATGACTAGAGCATACTGTTATGTTTTATGACATTGCATTTTTCTGATCTAAATAATAAATAGGATCCTGGCCAACTTATTAACCAACTATAGATTGAATACAGTTTTATTTATAGTACTTGTATACTGCTTTTCAGAGCTGGCTATTTCAAGTAATTTATATAACATCTTTCTTGCTTCTCTCTGTAAGGAATATTATATAATATAAATAGACTGGCAAAATAGGAAGAGATCTTTGAATACATGTAAAGCAGAATAAAAATTGTGATAAAGAAATGGAACACAGAAAATACTTTTCTCATCATGTGTAGTCCAGCAGTGTTGGACAAAGTGTAATGGTATGGTTTAGTGTTTTGTTGTTGTTGACTGGTTGTCTGTCTAGTTTGTTTGTTTGTTTGTTTGTTTGTTTCATTTATGCCCCACCTAGTCATTGCAACCACTCTTAAGGTATAGTGTGCTTCTCTGTGATTGTACCCAAACAGCTCATGGTATTAATTTTATTTATTTATTTATTTAAAATATTTTACCCGCCTTTCCCCTGGTAGGCATGAAGTAAACATAAAAGTGTAGCAGCAGATATGGGAACTATTTCAAGAAACATGAACGAATTCAAATAAAGCAAAGACAACAAATAAACAAACATATCATAGCATATACTTAGTATTACAGTGGAATAATTCAATCCACTATCAATTCACCTTTGGTTTGCAGCCATTTAGAACAAAGCAAGTTAAAAATTAACAGTGGATGGAGGAAAGAAACCTTACCTAATACAGTGGTGGGCAGAGTATGGCTCCAGGACCAACCATTTCTTTTGCAGACTCCAACCCTTTCCCAGATCGCTGTTCTTTTGGTAGAAGTGTTCCTAGAAGTCCTTAGTAGTGACAATTAAAACAGACCTTTTCAGCAACCTCAAGTTTTGCCTACACTGTTTAATGTCCCCAAATGTCACTTTTTCAAAACAAGCTGAATTCTAGTCACTTCTAGTGCCTTGTCTTCCTTGCTTGCTTGCATTTTACAGGGTGTTTTTGCAGACCTTGGAAGGTCCTAGAGGTGGAAAATTGATCTCTGGACCACCCAGAGTTGCCTATCCATACCCTACTATTAATGCTGCTCTTTGAACACTCTAAGGGGTGAGAGCAGCTCAGTTTGAACACAGTCTAGAGTCCTGAGGGTGGGATCTTCTCAGGAGGTGAAATGGGTTCCCAATATTCACCTTTCTTCCAAAGTCTGTTGTTAAGAGGGAAGATATATTTGTCTTGAGACTGGTATATGAATGGACACATGCTCTTAGATTAGGAACATGTGATCCTTCCAGTACTATCAGATTGCAGTTCACTATTGACTATGCTGGCTAAATCTGTTGAGAGTTGCATTTTAGCTACACATTCCCCCACTTTCCAGAGTTGCTTTTTCTCAGTTGTCCTTTTTAGTTAAACCCTCTTGTAGTATAATTCAAATTCTCTGTTTCCTGGTCTTGAGTTGTTACAGGAAGTGAAAATTTCTTGGACAAGTTTTTTTCATAAGCTAAAATACTCTTCTTTGAATTGCATCTTCTGGCCTAAATCCAGTCTAAAACTAGAATAGGCTCATTGAATCAATGGAATTTATGTAAGGTTTGATTTACCTGGCTCCCACTGATTCAGTGTTTCTTCTTTCCTTGGAATTTAACCATGAGATTTTGGCTTTGCCTCTGATCTCACCCATTTCTTCTTCAAAAACAGGTACCACTAGATCAGTGATCTTCCCTCCTTACATTGACTCTGAACTTCAGACTTTGTCTCTACACCTCGGTCCAATGGAAGATCAAGAGAATGAGGCCATTTTGCATTTTGCCGAGAGGGCGCTTGGTGGTGATCAGGCAGAAGAAGAAACCCAGTTAGTTGTGCTGGACCCAGAACATGTAAGAAAATATCAGATTTGTGGATAAATACAAATAGGAATGCAAATGCAAGCACAAAGTAGCTATATTTTATGGGAAAGCTTATTTACCGGTAAACAGTAAGCAGTTTGACATAATTGTTTTTTGAGTTAATTAGATTAGGCATCCTTCAGTTTCGAGAGCCTATGGTAACGTGCTCTGAATAGAGGACTTGGAACAGTGTCTAGTGTGGCTGAAATGGCGAATTCAAGAGTGACAATCCCTTACACAATCCCTGTCCAGCTCCCTGATTTTGCTGGTTTCAGGACTGCCTCTTTGCCTCGACCTGCTGGACAAGGGTCTCTTCAAATTGGGAGAGGCTGTGATGCACCGCCTGCCTCCAGGCTGAACGCTCAGATGTCAATGTTTCCCATCTGTTGAGGTCCATTCCTAAGGCCTTCAGATCCCACTTGCAGATATCCTTGTATTACAGCTGTGGTGTCCCCCTGGGGCAAGTTCCCTGCACTAATTCTCTGTATAGTAGATTTTTCAGAATCCGACCATCAGCCATTCTCACGACATGCTCGAGCCAACGTAGACGTCACTGTTTCAGTAATGTATACATGCTAAACATTCCATCTCGTTCTAGGACTACTCTGTGTGGAACTTTGTCCTGCCAGGTGATACCAAAAATGCATCAGAGAGTTAATACATGTTTGAGTTAATACATGTTTATTTTAAATAACAGATTATTTAAATCAGAAACATTTTGTTTTCATCTGTGATTGCTAAGATTTCTTGGGATGAACTATGGTGGGATGAACTACAGGGACTTGATACACCAGTTGTGAGTTGTTGAAAAGCAGCAAAAACCTTGCAGTATGCTTGCTTGCTTAATGATGCATCATGGTGATAGCATTGCCTTTTTCTCTGTTGAGTTTTAGCTTCTAAGATGTCTTTATGCATCTTTTCCTATATAATTTGCATTTGTTATTTTAAATTGCTCTGAGCAGCCATATTAAAAATGGATCCTGAAATTATGGGAGTCATTAGGGTTCAAATATTGGATGACATAGAATCATAGAATCATGAAGTTGGAAGGGGTCTATAAGGCCACCGAGTCCAACCTCCTGCTCAGTACAGGAATACAAGCCAAAGGATATCTGCCAGGTGGTTGTCTAGATTTCTCTTGAATGCCTCCAGTGTTGGAGCACTCACCAACCCCCAAGGTAACTGGTTCCACTTTTGTACTGCTCTAACAGTAAGGTTTTCCTGATATTCAATGGAAATCTGGCTTCCTGCAACTTGGGCCTGTTGTTGCATGTCTTGCACTCTGGGATGATCGCAAACAGATCCTGTCCCTCCTCTGTATGATGGCCTTTCAAATATTTGAAAGTGGCATCGTATCTCCCTTCAGTCTTGGTTTCTCAAAGCTAAACGTGCCCACTTCTTTCAGATGGTTTAATGTAAAACATCCTTATCTGTATCTTTTTCACACTTGTTACTTCCTTCTTACTACCTTCAAATTCCTTTTGAAATTTACTCAGTTCACCAGTATTCCAGCTGTTACACCAGGATATCTGTGCCTCTATGACTTACTTCCCTTCCTCATTTTCATCCCACAATTCCAGATCCACACCATGATCTCAGTTTCCCTTTTTTCTTTGGCCCAACTGCAGCTGTGCCTCCACTTTTTCTCCTTTTTGCTGGTTGAACGATTCTGCCTGCAAGCAAAATTAGCTTGACAATGCAATCCTATGCATGCCTTTTTGGAAAGACTCACTGTGTTCCAAGGGATAAGTTCTATTTAGGACTGTACAGGACTGCAGTCTAACACTTTTCAATCAGGTACAATTTCCTTCAGTTCTGCTGTTTTGCAGAGATGGAGTGTAGTCCAAGGGTGATTCTTGAGTGCAGTTCAGTCAGTCTTCTCCTAAGCTAACCCAGGAGGCAAGGATTGGATCTCCAGCATGGTGACATAGCACAACTATATCTTAATCCGGTCAGGATTTTATTTTGTCTGCAAGCAAATCATTCCCACATTTGCAGAATTTCTCATTTAGGCAATGTTTCCAGAATGAAAATGACAGAGGTAATTGAAGGACAAATGTTGCTTGTTCCAGTGATATAATAATGGTAATGTGCTTTTGTTTCTCCCTGTAGTCCCTGATGAAAAGATTCCAAACTGCTCTAAAGGACTACCTCAATAAACAGATCGGAAAACTAACTGAAGAGCTTCGGGAGCTGGTACAATCAATTTGCTTGGCATTTCTCTCTGTACTTTTCTATTCATGTTGGAATGTGCAGGCTCACTCCCTCTCTCTCACGACTGCAGACAGCAGCCACAAAGAATGGGAAGATGCAGAGAGAAGAGCTTGGTGTAATCCTCTATGGGGTCCAGCAGCAGTTGGCCCGTCTGCAGATGGAACTGGAGAAGAACCACAATTGTCATTCCCAGATTGCTATGTCACGCCGGCAACTGGAGGAGGAATTGCATGACCTCAGAAGTGCGTACAAGAAGAACTGCCAGAGTGCAGAGGACGAACGCAAAAGAGGTGAGTTAGTCCTTGACAGTTTTTTTCCTCATTCTTTTCATACGTATCAATAAACCATATGACATGCTTGGTTTGCAGATGTTTCTTGAACAGTCAGGAATGGAGCGCTGGCTGAATTATCCAGTATGAGATTAAAGCAGCCTGTCTATTCAGAACACCCAACATGTCATGAGATTAAAGCAGCCTGTCTATTCAGAACACCCAACATGTCATGCTTTTTAAAAGCTAATCCCTTAATTAGACTGATTTTGGATTACGTATGTACACCAGTGGTCAACAGAGTCTTTTTTTGTTTCAACTGGTGATTCATAGTTGCTATATTAGCTGGTGGAACCAAGAATTGAGCAACCAACATAAAAAGCACCCACATGTAATATATACAGATGACATGTTTATTCCTACTCCCATAGTACCATTCTGCAGGTATAGAAATTGATACTGGACTAATGATTTGGCATTCTAAGGTTCTCAATTGCCGCCCAGAGTAGACTATTTGACTATATGGATGGGGTATAAATCTAATAAATAAATAAATACATTTTCATTTTACAGAACCAAATTTGCAGTTATGGTTGTGGAAATAACCTTGAAATTCTATAGGCAATACTTGCAAAAACTGAAAATCCACACAGGGAGAGTTAAGCTATACTTCTAGTGGGCAGTGCAGTCTTGCAAATGTGTCCATTTAGCTGCATGCAGAAATTTTTTACCAACTTGTTAAGAGATTAGTAGCCTGGATTTCCATGTTTAACACAGAGAAAAGGAGCCCCAAACTGTGGTTGCACTGGCTGTAATAACTTCCTTTTCTAGTGTGTCTGCATGGAAACAATGCTAATAACCTCTTAACAGGCTATTAGAAAAAAGGCCTTTTATCTAGGTGGCTAGAGAAGAAGGGAGGCAGTGGAAGACGGGAGGGCCTGGCGTGCTCTGGCCCATGGGGTCACGAAGAGTTGGACACGACTTAACGACTAAACAACAAAGAGAAGAAGGGATGGAATGATCCATCTCTCTTGTGCCATCCTGCTGCACCTGTTGCATTGGCCCCAAAGGAGAAAGTTTCCTTCCCACCATAGCCAAACAAGCAGACTTGTTTTCTACTTGAGAAAAGACCGAGAGGTGCACCTCTCCTCTACCAGCCGGTTTACAAGGAATTCCTTGTTATCTGTGCTTTAAGTCAAGTTGTTAAATACCAGCCTGGCAAAATGGGACAGGCTTTCTTGTTATGCATTGTTCCCATTTACTGCATAACAGAGCCTATAAGTATGATTTGCGAAAGCTGTGTATTTATAGTTTTCTGAGAGAGAAAATCATAAAATGTGATTGTACATCAATACCTTTCCATAGTAGTTTTGGCACAAGCTGTAGAAATATACAAAGAGAAACAGATCTACACATGTGTGTACATATTTACATATCCTTCTATTATTTCTCAGTTTCATCCATGCAAACTGAGATGGAAAGTCTGTCCCTGCGCCTGTTTTATATGCAGAACATGGACCAAGATGTCCGGGATGATATTGCTGTGATGAAAAGAACAGTGAAGAAGGCTGAGATGGAGAGGATGCGTGCAGAGGTGGAAAAGCAAAAACAGGTATGCTATGCAGCAACTGTGGATGATTTTAAGGCTACGAATCATCATCTTTGCTTTCCAACCAGATTTTCCTTTCTCCTATCCCTGAACATCTCCATTTGTTACCTGTATCCTCCCCAAGTCCATCTACTGTTGGTCCCTCTGGTCCTTCCCACTCCCATTTTCTATGACTCTCCCTGTTCCTAGGAGAGCTTTCTTCTCACTATTGATTACTATGGAATTTTTTTTATCCTGGAGAAGATTTTTGAGAGGAGAGAGGGAAAGGAGTGTCGTTCTTCAGATACTCTTCAGCAATCACACCTTCCTTCTACACATATATTCTATCTATGTTTGAAGTGAATTGTACCACTTCAGATGCAGTTGGAAGATGTTATTTTTTAATGTTCTGCATGTAAAATGTGTTGCAGGGTTTTGAATCTAAACTCCTTTAGCTGCTCAGCAGAAACAACAAGACTCACAAAGCAAAATAGAGTCAATTCCCCAGAGTTGTCTATCCCTGCTCTCATTAACTGGCATTCACAGTCTCAGTATTTCACTCTGAGACATTAGTAAGAGAAAGAGTTTTTAAAAGCTTCATTACGTAGTACAGTTGGGCAGATAAAACAGGCAACTGACCAACATGACTGCTTTTCAGCAACAGACGTTAAGAGATTCCAGAGGGGGGGAAAAACACTGAGCAGAGAAACAGGGCTCTCTTTGAATTCAGAGGCAGAAGGGAATAATTGGTTAGTGCTAGATAGATTGGCAGGTCCCTTACTACCACACCTTTTCCAAGCAGCATGTGAAGTTGTAAAAACTCCCAACAAAATCTTCCCTGCATGCAGAAAGCTAGCATATTGGGAGGAAAGTTCTGGCATATCTTACTTTTTTACATGTGTTTTACACTTGCATGGATTTTTAAAAAAAATATAGGAAAACATTCCTGACACACAGTAGTACCCTGTCTGACACACAGACTCCCACTCAAGCTTCTTCTCTCAGCTCTGCTTCTCTTACCTCCCTCACACACGCTCCACATATATATACAGTACAGCCCCTCCTCCTGATGTCCCGCCTTCCACTCCCCATAGGATGGAACTTTCCCTCCAAACCCATGACAGACAGGTAACATCAGTGCTGTATGTAACACTGACCAGCATGACTGCTTTTCAGCAACGTTAAGAGATTCCAGAGAGGGGAAAAAACACTGAGCAGAGAAACAGGGCTCTCTTTGAATTCAGAGGCAGAAGGGAATAATTGGTTAGTGCTAGATAGATTGGCAGGTCCCTTACTACCACACCTTTTCCAAGCAGCATGTGAAGTTGTAAAAACTCCCAACAAAATCTTCCCTGCATGCAGAAAGCTAGCATATTGGGAGGAAAGTTCTGGCATATCTTACTTTTTTACATGTGTTTTACACTTGCATGGATTTTTAAAAAAAATATAGGAAAACATTCAGAAATATTACCCCTCCAAATCTCAACATGCCTGTATTCTAAAGCAGTACTATTGATTCTGTGTCCTTGATCCTTTTTGTTCTAATTTCATTTTGCTGTACATATGTTGTATGATTTATGCCTTCAGTGCTTGAATCAAAGAGAATAGTTTTTTAATATTGTAATTATCCATATGGCATATTTAACTGAACAGGGCATTTTCTAGTCCTTATTTTATCCATGCTTATGGCAGTCATGTGAAATACAGTGGTGCCTCGCTGTGTGAAAGCATTGTAGAACGGGGCAGGAAAAGCCATTGGAACACATTAAACATGGTTTAATGCATTCCAATTGGGCCGAATACTCACCGTTCAGCGATGCTTCCCTATGGCCGGCAGCCATTTTCACACCCTCCCCTCGCTTAACGAGGGCGCGAAAACGCTGCGCGCGGCCATTTTGGGGCTTCCGGCGGCCATTTTGTAGCCGCGGAACAGCTGATCAGCGGGGCGCAAAGCGAAGGTCGGTAAGCAAACTGCTTACCGACCTTCGCTCTGCGATTTTTGCCCATTGGGGGCGTCGCTCTGCGATCGCATTAGCGATAGAAAAAACATCCCCGTAGAGCGAATTCATCGCTCTACAGGGTGCTCATTGTGCGAGGCACCACTGTACTATGTGGTTGTTGTTTCCATTTTACAGATGATAAAGTGTAATTGAACATTTGTGACTTCTCTAGAGATGATGTGTCTAAGGGTTTGCACCTAATTCTTCCAAGTCTTAGCCCACTGCTCTGTCTCCTGGTTCATATGGGATAAGAAGTTCTAGTTGTGATGCTTCATAGGCCACAGTAGATACAAATGTCAGAGCATGAATAGTATGACCTGTGGCCTTTGTTTTATCTGTCTGCAATTCTCTGGGGTTGTGTTGAGGATCAAAGAAGCAGTGTTCTGGAAGGAAGTACAGTATTTTAATGTTTTTTATCTATGGTCCCTCACCAGAGTGCCACTCCCCCAGTCTTCAAAGAAGCTTCATGGCTCTGCTACTTTATAAAAACAAAACACCATAGGATATGTTAATAATAATGATAATACATATTCTATTCCAGCATGACTCTGAAGGCCATTTATAGAGCATAGTCAGGTGGACTAAGGAGGAAATTATCATTCCAGATCTGGACGTGCTGTTGCTCTACTAGTAGAGCTTCCCATCCTAGCCACTCATAATTGGCTGTGGGCAGGGATTAAGATTATTCTGATAAAACCAGTGAGTACAGTATGTAATCTCATTAATTCATCAAGCAGTTATCTGGGGAGTTTTAAAGTAGATGCCAAATGTGAATATTAAAACTAATAACTAAAAAGACACAAAAGAAAGGAGAATGTGAACGTCAGACCAAAATGACCTCAAGTTGAGAGTTTCTCTAAATTGTTCTGGATCTCACAAAAACAACATTATAACATGACCACTGACATAGATAGCAAATAGCTGGATACTGGACTGAAAGCTAACATCTTACTTTTGAGCCTTACTTGTATTTATAAAAATGAAGAAGGAGGAGAGCTGCAAAAGAAGAAGAAAGTAAAATACTCTATGGTGGCTGATGGCTCATCCAATGGAACAGAAGTCTAACATGGAATTACCTAATGTCATAGGACCTTCACGTGGACCACTTAACAAGGAGGGTCAATGAGCTGCAGGAACAGATTGCTCTTTACGAAGCACAGCACATGGCCCAAGCTGAAGATACCAGGATCACACGCCAGGAAGTGGGAGAGGTAATAGGTCGTACCATTTCTCTCTGGGGTGAATATTTGTCATGGAAGGGCAGATTTCTAACACTCTTAAAAAGATGTGCATCCTTTATATATACGTGTGTATGTATGTTCATATATATATGTAAACACATACAGTAACTTTTTTAAAATATACATGCATCCTACTCATTCTCCCAGAGAGCCCAGGCTGACATAATAAAACACAACAAATGTCTTTAAAATAATAATTCTAAAAACAGATACTGTATGCAACTGCCACCTAGAATCAACATCCACTTTCTTAACCCTTGACAACTTGCACAGCTTGCAAAAATAGAAAGCATTTTATGGATTTGGACATGTATCAGAATATCTTTAAAGATTTTTGTGTGTGTTTAGAGTCATTGCCTTGAAGAGTGACACAAAGGTCACAATCCTGTACAGTCCTGTTGAATTCAGTCCCAGGGGTAATTCCCATAGAAATCAGTCAGACTGTTTGGACCATGTAGGGTTCCACTCTTACCCCTTAAAATAGAGGTGGTGATCTCTATTTGAAACACCTGTTCAAATAAAACAATGTAATGGCTATTAGTTTATCAAAGTATATATATAATTAATAATGTAGTTAATACATTGATAACCTGTTTTTTCATTAGATCGTTCAAAGAGTGCATTTCTGTGTCTGTGTGCTGTAACAATGCATATAAGGAAACTTGAGAGTGCATTTCTTTAGACTAAAGAGCAGTTTGGGGAATATGTAGATTTGAGAACAGGACAGAAAGCCCAGAAATACTTCATTAGTTGTTTCCATGTATCGTGCAATTTGCTCCTCAGTGTCTTGCATATAAGCCACAGTTAACTCTGTGCTCTAGGACTGCCTCAGTAATTCCCACAGACTCTTCCAAGAAGCTCATGCTTTTCAGTGTAGCTGACTCCTATTACAGATTTCTTCAATCTCTGCTGAAATTGAAGATGAAAAGGAACAAAAAGATGAGCTTAGAGTACATAAGACCAGCATTGGGCTGTATGGAAACGGAGCAGTGTGTACTGATTGGTGAGAAGGTGATTTGATTTCCATTGCCCTGTGGGGTATTGTAAAATTTCGCCCCATTGTTTTTGCAGGCAAGCATAGAGATACAGGCCATTCACCTGGAGAAAAAGCAGCTCTTGCATCAGTGGACCGTCAGCTTGAATGGCATGAAGCGCAGAGATGAGGCCTATGCTGCCATGCAGGAAGCACTGAGGTAACTCTGCTGAATCAGCAAAGATAATTCTCAAGGGACTCTCTTGTAAAAGAGGGGGGAAAGCACTCCAAGCGAGGTTGCTCTTGAGTTAGATGGAGAGAATCATAATTCAGAAAGGCACTTAGCTGCAGAATGACAGCTACTGTTATCCAGCCCCAGTTGTGGTAAATTAAGCACATAAATAAGCTTATCAACAAATTACTGGTATACTGTATTGCTGGGAACAAAATTTTCTTCTAAACCCCACACACCAATTATACGACTATATATAAACAAGTTGTCTTACCCATCTTGGTATCATTCAAACACTTGATGTGTGAACCAGGATTACAGCGCTAGAGGGTGCCTTTATTCATATCTTGTCTGTCTTTCCAAAGTCTGAATACAGCTGACAAGTGTGCTTTGTTCTGCACATTTTTCTTTCAAGAGGTATTTCTGGCGAGGGAGTATTTCCCATAAACCAAGACAAGGAACCATTTTAAGTCACAATTTCTCATGGCTATAGAGAGACTTTTGGAGTTGGTCATAAGCTAGAGCTCAAAGCAAAATGGGTGGGATCAATCTTTCTCCTCTATGTGCACATACCTGTATTCATTTATGCCCACAGTTCATGTATGTACATACATTTGTTTGTTTGTTTGTCTGTTCACTTCTTTTCTGTCTCCCTCTCCTGCACACGCATTCTCATTCTCACCACCTCTACACGGCAATTAGGCTTGTGGGGGGGAAAAGAGCCTCCCATTGATTCAAGTCTCTGGAATGAGCTAATAGGAGCCTTTTTTCCAAGTCTAATTGCTAGGTATGGTACAATTGTCAGAGGTTGCACATGTGGGATGGGGAAGCATAAGCCCTATCCTGACATTATCCCTGAAAGTATGGAGGGCTCAGTGTGGGTGGCGATGCAAATAATTACACTCCTATTCTATCCAGAATTTGTGTATGGGCCTAATCACACGGGCCATTAGAATCATTTCAATTTCCTACTTCATTTATACCAATATATATTTATGTATGGTCGCATGGTATATAAATCGCTGGGCTTGTTAACATGGCAATCTTCTCTTTTTATACAATTTCTTGAACTTTGAACAGGCTTTGTAGGCTATACGACAAAATCAACTCATTCTCCATTCTATTCTACGCTTTTCTGAAATTGCTTTTGCTGTTGCTGTTGTTAAAAATACCTAAATGATATATTGCTAGAGCAGCATCTAGATGAATGTTAAGAACTTTAGAAGGCAGTATTGGAAAATGTTTCATAAGGCAAGGTTTTCCTTGGCAGGCGTTCAATTTTAGGGTGCTTTGTTTCTCAAATGACACTAGGTGGGGTGTTTCTCCACATTGTCAAGGGAAGAGATGAGTGGGGATAAATGTTACAAAAAAGAAGTGATGCGGCGGTAAACTCTCGGGGGAGTTGTATCTATATTAGCTGGTTTTTGACAACGGAGCTGTAGTTTTTCATAAACCATAGTTCATGAAAACAAGCTTCATAAACTATTTGGACTAGTGTTTACCCAGCATGTTTAAGATAAACAATAGTTTGCCTGGATTCAGATGATACAGCAATTTGCAACTAACCCAAGAAACAGAAGTAAACTCTGTTGATCTTTGTGAAGCTATGCTGAAAGGCAGGTGGGTGCATGCATGCACAAACTTGTCAGAAACTAAATTCTTGTGACAGTAAATTATAATGTTGCAGTACATCTGAGCCGCTTCATTATGTGTATCACTGCTGTGTGATTGTATTAATGTGCTGTCAAGTTGCACCCTACTTATAGAGAACCTTACGATCAATGCTAGGAGTGCCAAAACCTGGAAGATGGCTCCATTTTTTACTTTCGGATTCTTTTACATTTCTTTAAATTAAGCAGTATTGAATAACTGTCAAGGACAGAAAAGTAGTTAGATTATATTTAGGTCAAATGTAGTCAACAGTGCTGTTAGAAACATTTTGTCCAGATTATTGGCGGTTGAGTATTCAGAAGGAAATATCCACTTGTTCTTTAGTTCTTTGCCCAGCCATTGAAAACTGAGAGGAGAAATGAATTTTCTGTGAAGACACTGAAACTGTCCCTTCCTTCCGATCTTCTCAGAGTTTTGTTGTCAAGAGTGATTCCAACTCTATTAGAGTAGAAGACACTGTCAGTATAGAAAGAGATTTTTTTCCCCATCCTGTTTTTTACCCCACTAATAAAATCTAAATCCTGCTTTGTCCACACACTTTATTCATCTAGGCTGAGCAATGTCAACTGTGCTTCTTTTACTTATCTATTTTCTTTGTCTTTCCAAAGCTACAAAGTAAGTACAACAGTAATGTGACAGTTCCAGTAGCTGTCCATCTCAAGATCAAGATTATGTGAGATAATTCTCACAAATATGAAAAGTGGCAATGTTGACTGCACATGGCTATGTATTCATTGTCTTCAGGGGCTTCAGTGTTTATAAGGATTTTGATTCAGTTATGTATGTTTGTGACATTTTACACTGTCTTTTGCATGGAGAAAGACACTAATCTGGGGGCACAGAGATACATTTACGTTGCACTGATATATTTTGCAGTCAGCAAGAGTAATAGCTCTACCTATTCAGCACTAGTCAAACCTCATCTCAAGTACAGTATCGTCTTCTGAGTGTCACACTGAGAAGGACATGCACAAATTGGAACGGGGTGAGGACAATAAGGATCATTCTTTGTGTGTTATGTACCATCAGGTCAGAACCAATTTGTAGTGATCCTGAGGGGGTTTCAAGGTAAGATATGTAAGAGGGATTTGACTAGTTTCAACCCCCTCTCCATGGGTTTCCATGACTGTGTGTGGATTTGAATGCAGTGTCCAGAGTCATAGTCTGTCATCCTGTCCACTACACCACAATGGGTATGTAATACAGATCTTTAAAGGTATGGAAGGCAAGTTCTATGAGGCAAGGATAAGGCACCCAGACACCCTTCAGATTTCTCAGTGGCTATTCATTATGAGGGCAGTAACTTATTAACTGCTGCCTGAGAGCACAGAACTAGAGGTAAGAGAGAAATGACTTGATGGTAAGAGTAGTTTGACAGTATCACCAATTGTTGAGAGTCATGGCGGGTCTTCCTCACTAAAGGCCTTCAAGCATCCTGAAGATGCTATAGTCTGACTGTTTTGCATCTAGTGGGAAGCTGGACTCTGTGTGGACTTCAAGGTCCTTTCCCGTTGTGTGACTCACTCTGTGCAATCTAAAGTCTGATAAATGGTGAAATTCTTTTAACCAGCAAAAGATACAAGATGTACCGCAAGCAAAAAAAGAAAAACCTGTATGTTTGTCTTGCAAGAAATAATTATCTGAAAAAGGTTTTACTGATAGGGGGAAAAAAAGACAAATGGTCCTTTGTGCTTAATGGGTACATGTGTTATTTTGGTCACAGTTTATTTGAAAAAGGAGACTTTTTGAGTTAAGCACCTTGCTCTGGATGTTCCTCTTTCCACTTCGACAGAGAATCCAGGCACAAGCTCAAATCTTTAGAGATTGAGATTGAAGTCTACAAGAAGTCCATCATTAAAGAGGAGGAAAGAAATGAACTGTTGGCTTCTATTTTGAACCGTTCGGAGAATGATGCCAACACAAGCAGGAAGCTGATAGCCCAGAGTTTGTCTAAACAGGATGCCATGAAAGTGGAGTTTAGCACCTATACTCGCACCCTCCATGAAACAGAGCAAGCCCTGAGTCGGGCCAGTGCGGTAAGATCCTGGGGGAGGGAGACTCTGCTGTCTGTTTGCCTCTGTTTAGTGGGTCACCCTCTTACTCTTGCTCACAGCCATGGACACTTCCTAACAACTGGTCTCTTCTCTATGCAGGATCAAGCTGCTCGTATGAATGAGTTGGTGGTTCTTCGAAGAGAGACAGAGAAGGGATCGCAAGCCAAGCAGCAGCTGGAGAATGAAATCATAGGAAAGCTGCAGGATCAGCTGATGTCTAGCAAAGCAGCCAAGTACTATTCACAACTAGCAGCTAAACTCCAAGACCAGCTCATGACTCTGGTATGTACAGCAGCTACTGTGGTGGGGAACACAGTTATACTGTATTTTGATTTGTGTATTTTATGTTTATGTTTTAGTTAATACAATTTTTTTTAAAAAAAGGAACTATAGAAATCAGATTGCATGGAAAATGGTGGGTTTCTCTCCCCTCCATTTATATATTCACAACGGTTTCACCCTTTCTGTGTTGGACTTGGAGTTTGAATTTGCTTCCCCAAGCTGAGTATGGGTGGTTGATGAGGTCACATGCCCTGACACTTAAGTAATACCAGAGTGCCACTGGAAGAAGAAACTGGCAAATCACCTCTGAGCACTTTATGTCTAGAAACCCTTGGGAGGGTGGCCATACATTTGAATCAACTGGATGCTGCCACCCAGTTATGTTATTATTCTAAAAATGAAGAAGCACTTTTTTGAAAACAACAAGGGCAGGCCGTCTCTGTCTCTGGCTTCCTGGTGTGTTTGTCTCAGCAGATACCACATTATGAGGAAACTCCACTTCAAGCATCCCCCACCTCTGTTTATAGGAAGCAAAATCAAAGGGGGTTGGTATTTAATGGAATACTCAATGAACTGAGCACACCAATGATAGGGTTCTGATTAAAATCTTAGTTTTTCTTAGCTAGAATATTAATGAAAATTACTCTATTTGGAATTACCTCCAAGCAGTGGTATACATTGGGAGCTATTTCTGCCACCTTCTACCTGGTATAGTAGTTTTCATTGTCTTGTATACCTTTAGAGATGGGAGATGTTTCAACCTAGCTTTAGATTCAAATGTCTGCTTTTTCTGGGCCTGGTAGCCAAGTATCATTGGTGCTTGATTCTGGGATGCAAGAGCCATTCGGACTGGGATTGAATATATGTAGGTCCCTTGGGGTTTGAAGCTGGGCTCCCTGGGCCTGAGTAGGCACTGGTCTTGGAGCCCTCTTCAGGTAGGTACTCTGGTTGGCAAGTGATATGAAGATTCTGGATTGACCTGAATGGCATGACTCCTAGGAGACCAATCCCCTCTGTCTTTGCTCGTTCAGCAGAGCACTATCTTCTGCTTGGCTTCACTTCAGACTCCCTCCTCTAAGAACTACGCTCAGAAGCTCTGACCTGCAAAACACATATTCTAAGTCTAGATTTAAGGTCCATCTCCCCCGCCATAGTCTGCTCTAATAAAAAACAGTCCACGTCCATGCTGAAGTCAGAAAGTGAGTGTAACTGGATGGCTCCAAATGGAACAAGGAACAGGTATCGAAAGGTGTAGTGAGGTTGGAGAGGTTAGAAAGGTTAGAGAGCTAAAAAAAAATCCTGTTCCTGTTTTTTAAATCCAGAAAACTGAAGTAGAATTGGACAGACAAGAGCAAGTTGTAAGGGGAACATTAAGATCAGGAAAAGGAGAAAGAGAGTTTACAAGAAAGCTAAAATTAAAGCAGATGAAAGTTGAATAATGAAAACTGGGGTTATCAACAACTTTTCTACAGTGCAAATATTCTCTCTCTGGTTTTTAGCTGTTTCATTAAGAACAAGAAGTTGAAAAAAACAAGTGTCCATATTGACAGTTTGGATGGAGTCAGGTAGCAATCTGACAACCTTGCAGATTCAATCCCCATTCCTCACTACATGTTGCTATTGCAAAACTGGTTCATGGCCCTTCTCACTCAATATCCTATTATTTATTTACTGTATTATGAATATTGCAAGACCCACCACTCTCAAGTGGCTTTCAATTAAAGCTCATCCGAAGATACAGACAGCAAAATTCTATTGGCATGTGCTTACACTGGAATAACCCAGAAGACAGACCTCCTGCCCTCCCCGCATGCATTCCCCTCCCCACAGCTGCTTTGCCCATGTGCCAGCGCCAGCGTGAGCACTCCCCCACTCCTTCATGCATGCACCCAAGTGCCCGTGCAAAGGAGTGGGTGGGCATGCCGGTGGGCATGTAGGCACCCCTGTGCATGCACAGAGGGGTGGGGGAGCGCTGGCGCTGGTGGGCGGGTGCGCCAAAGAACATGCATGCACCTGTGGGGGGCCCCTGCCTTCCTTGGAGGCTCAGCCAGTCCACGATCCCAAAAAGGGATCTTTGGGAGCTTAAATCAAATATTTCTAATGTCCAATCTGGGTTATGCTGACATAAATTCATGCAACAGGATTTTGCTCGGTAAAAATAAATAGTCCAGTAGAAAAATGATGGGAAGAGGAAGTTTTTTTAAAGCAACAATTTTTGTTAGGCCTCACAGCTAGAAACTTGTGAAACATTAAGAAGAGGGTGCTGGTCAGTTGCTCCAGATGATGGTAGGAAAGAGCATTTTAAATATTAATCTGCAGTTAGAGTTTCTAGCTTCTCATCTGCTGGTGACTGCAAGCCTCTGCAATTTATACCTGTAAAACTGTAAGAGCTTCCCTCCCAGAAATGGTCTCCCATACAAGCAATCGGGGCAACACTGAAAACTATCCTCAAGAAGGATCCAGCATCTACTGGGGCTCAGTGGATCATTGGAAAGCTGGTACTGTGGTCACAAGTACCAAACATTTGATGAATATCTGAAGAGAGAAATGTATGGATTGAACCACCTTCTGTCAACTGGTTCGTTCCTATAAACAGATACTTAGGCTTTGTTCAGTCTACATGCTTTCCATGAGTTCCTATGAAATGGCAATAGCACTTCCTAGTCTTTCCCCAAATATAGCTTCTCTAATTTCTGCAAACAGAAGACCACAGCTGAATTCATATTTGTCTTAGTTATTTCTAATTCACCTTATATCTGTTAGCAGCTGACTTAAGTGCTTTTGGAGCAGAGAAGTGGCATATGTGAGTTGTAAGCAGTATTGGTTATTCCTGTAAGCATTATGGAAGGAGCTGTATTCCATAAATCCAATAGCAGGGTAGAAGGCATAGAAAGTAACAGAGAGAAAGGGATGGATTTGCTCAAGCACTTCACCACATTTGATAACACGCGACAATGAAATCCAAAGCCAGACTCCTCCTAAATGTTACCTCTGCACTGAATCTTTCATCAGCTTACAGTAGAATAATACGGCGACTTTAAGCTTGCCATCTTTTTCAGTCTCATCTACAACTTTATAGAATCTACAAAGACTTATTCAAATCCCTATAACCAATTTCTTTCTTTCCCCCCCTCCCCCCCTCCCGGTCAATGCCCTTTTAACCTTGTCATCCCTAGGAGATACAGCTCACCAAAGTGGAGAATGATACAGCCCAAACCCTCCTGGATATAACATCCACCAATTGCAGGCTGAATATGCTTGAGAAGACCCTCTCAGATCTGGACAAGGAAATGGATAACTTAAACAACCAGATCAATCACAGCGAAAATGAGATTGCTAAGCGTAACCTTATGATTGGACGCAAACAAGGGATCATCAACCTATACAACAAGAAACTGGAAATGTTAATTTCTCAGCTGGGGGTATGTACCTTATGGCTTGGATCCTCACTGCCGTTTCCTTCCTGGCATTCAAACTAAAAAATCAAGGTTTATTAAGCTGTAATTGATTCTGCCCCTCCTTCTGCGGAACTGCAGAGGACTTTATAAGTGATCTAGGGATTTAGTGGGATCTCCTGAGGAGAAAAGGGTCTGATAGTTAAATCCTCATATAACTATGTGGTATGGTAGACACAGAGTCAACCCTAGGAGTCAATTCAAATCTCTGCTTAGCCCCAGAACCTCACTGGTGGCGGTGGGGAATTATGTGGTAGTGGTAAAAGCACTCCTTAAATATCTCACAGGCCTTGAAAACCATATTATGGTAGCTGTAAGTTGGAAGCAACTAGATGACATGTAACATATAGGATAGCTGTTCACCTACTATACTCGATGTCTCTGAAACTAAGCCAGCATCTCTAATGTAGACAGGATTTGAAAGAGCCACCTCCTACTCAAAGGGTGGGGAATATGTCACTCTCCAGATGTTCATAGCGACTCTCATTATCCCTTAATATTGGCTATGTTGGCTATAGCCGGTGAGAGCTGGATTCTGACCACATCTGATCTGTACAAAAATGCTGGCACAAAGTCTGTCTCACATCGACCTGGTTTTTCTCCATGGTGCCACACTGTTGTTCAAATGAAATGCAAAAAAAAACCCCACCCTGCTTTATAAGCTCCTAACAACTTGTTGTTGCCTAAAGGATCTTTGAATTCGTAAAAGAATTTCCCCTTAATAAAGCCTGTATTTGAGAAATTACTGAGGTCTGTCATTAGTCTGTCATGTGACCTGAGGGAGATGATGGCTACTCCTTGACAGACAGAACCCCAGCAGCAAGTTCAGAGTTTTGAAATTGCTGTGTGGTTCTTTGAATTGTGACTTTTCTCTCTTTATGAGTACAGAGTTCTGGAACTTCCAGATATCATTAAAATCTCAGCCTCTTACCAGGTATAATCTCCCAAAGCGATTCTATACAGCTAGAAAAAAGAACCATAAAAAATAGGTTTGTCACAACTCTGCAGGAAGCGTAAACAATGGTGCGAGTATACTGAAGCAAAACGAGATCTGTTGGAAATGAAACAAAACAATTTGCACAATTTTGCATTCAGGGACAAGAATTGGGGCCCTTGGAAATTGAAATCAAGAGACTTGCTAAGCAGATAGATGAAACTGACTTAGAGGTGGTGAAGCTGCAGAGACACTGGATGAAGCAGCAGAGAGAACTGGTGAAACTGACGGAGGAGCGGGATGAGCAGCTGGCTTCTTTGGATATGTTAAAGAAAGAGATCACAATTAAAGAGCAGAAGAAAATCCGCATTGAGAGTAAGTGTGATGCTTCCTGTGAGGCTGGAAATAAGATATTTCATTCCTGCTTTCACTGATTGACTCTCAGGTCTGTTCGGAAATGGCAATGGTGAACAAGAGGTGTAATTGTGTCTGATTGCTAGACAGTGATTGCTGAATAGAGGACTAGTTGCAGGTGCGGGGAGGAAAAGACAGGTCAGTCTCTTCCAATGGCACAGTGGCGGGGAGTCTTACAACAAAGGCCTTTTCAACTAGCTACAAATATGAAATCATAATTTAGGTGGGCAGCAATTGCTCTTGGGGTCTCAGGGGCACTTAGTACAATTGTGTGCTTCTCTGGGAAGGTCAAGTGTGATGTATGAGAAGCTGACTCTTTAATCAGATCTCCTTAAGCAATCTGCTGCAAGCTCTCACATAAATGCTGCCACAGCAGATAGTATAGTTTCTACCTACTGTTGATGGAATCCATAAAATCATAAATTTCATACTGTGATCGTGCACCTCTAAAGTCAAACAATATTTCTGAATGCAGATTTGCCAAATCAGGATTTTTCTTCTTAGAAAATATGGAATCCTCAGGTGCAAAAATGTACAGGATATACTCCAAGGACATTTTGCCTTTGATATGCTACTGCCAGCTGTGCAGCCATGAAGAAGGTGATGTGAATATTCCCCTGCCATTTTGAAGAAGCAGTTCACTGAAGATATAAGTGCCCCTTCTCAGTAACAGCTGGTAGGAAGTACAGAGAGCACAGCATGGACTTAACAATGTCAATACAATACTGGTTGCGTAGGCTTCTATGTTTGTACTGCATCCTTCATCACCACTGTCCCTCTTATCATTTCCACCATGTTGCTAGGATTCAATACCCTACGTTTTATAGCTTGGTTACTTGTTGGCTGTTCCTCTCTAGATGAAATCCAGCAAGAAAAAAATGAATTGAAGAACATTGAACGCCATATGAAGAACATGGCTAATGATTTGGTGAAGCTACATTTATTGATCAATAAGAACAGGGAGAATTCTGAAGAGTTGCAGCAGGGCAACACTATCATGGAAAATGAGTTTGTGCGCACTCTTAAGGTAATCCTCTCACACCCACAAAGAATCTGCTGACATCCTGTTGTGTGTTCTAGATGAGCACTGGACAACTGGTCCACAGGCCTTTTGTGGAAGGACAGTGGGGGCACCTTCCCCAGGCCTCCCACGGGGAGGAGGCCACATCACTATTGCCAAAACAGTACATTTATTTTTTAAAATTTAAACATTTTATTAGTTTTTCATTATATCTATATTCAATTCATGCTTGTTAAACATCGTGTTCGAGTTACGTCCATCTTCTGGAACGGATTATGGTCATAAGTGGAGGCACCACTGTACATTCCATTTGTGCTTATTAAACATCATGTTCCACAGGTTGCTTATAATTAACTTGGTACCTTCATAGTTGTCCCTTCAAAATCTACATTTTTAAAACATTTAAACCATTAATGTATGTATTTTAGTATACAATATTGGCTACTATCATAATATTGCTCTAATAGTATATAATGTTCTCAAAATTCTCTAATAACATACCTAATAAAAGTAATTCCAGTTTCAAATCTATATAATTTTGAGGTGATTTAATGACAAACTTTTATTTTACACCAATAATAGCTGAATAGGTTTCTAACACATAATAAATGTTATCTAAAGCATTTATACAGATTTTCTTTATATAATTTAGCATTTCTATCTCCAGATTTTTTATCATGTCTATATCAATATCATATCTAATATATGTTCATTAAGTATAATTTGTTTTATCTCATCCTTATACAGTGGTTCCTCGCTTAACGGGCGCCCCGTTTAATGACGAATCTGCATAGCGAAGAAGATTTTGCGATCACTTTTGCGATCGCATTGCGATTTTTCCCCATAGGCCCCATTTTCCCCCAGCTGACCGGTGGGGGCTTCGGAAGGACCTTCCGAAGCTCCTGCCGGTCAGCCGGCTGAAAAAGCCGGTGGGCGCTCGGGAGGAGGGTGGGGGAGCCTTCCCCCGCCCTCCTGCCCGAGCGCTGGCCCCATTTTCAGCCAGCTGATGGGTGGTTCCAAAATGGCCGCCGCAACCATTTTTGCGCGATTTCTTCACTTACCGAGGGCACGAAAATGGCAGCGCTATGGAGGATCTTCGCATAATGTTGAGTTTTCGCCCCTATGGGGTTTTCCCAACCGCATTGCGATGTTTCCGGATAGCGACGATTAATCAGGAATGGATTAATGTCGCTATGCGGGGCACCACTGTATCTAGCTTCAATTTACCTTAAGAATACTGTGTTATGCCTTTACCCAGATTAGTGATCCCTAGTGTGATGCAGCTGCCAAGAAAGCCAATGCAATTCTTGGTTGCATCAATAGGAGTATAGTGTCTAGATCAAGGGAAGTGATAGTACCACTCTATTCTGCTTTGGTCAGACCTCACCTGGAGTATTGTGTCCAGTTCTGGGCACCTCAATTCAAAAAGGATGTTGACAACCTGGAATGGGTCCAGAGGAGGGAGACTAAGATGGTTAAAGGTCTGGAAGCTATGTCCTATGAGGAGTGGCTTAGGGAGTTGGGAATGTTTAGCCTTACAAAAAGAAGGTTGAGAGGTTGAGTCTCCTTCTTTGGAAGTTTTTAAGCAGAGGCTGGATGGCCATCTTTTGAGAGTACTTTGATGGATGTTCCCGCATGGCGGGGGGTTGGACTGGATGGCCTCTGTGGTCTCTTACATCTCTATGGCTCTACGACCCTTATTTCAGTTTAATTCTCTTTTCTAATATATAGGATATGCCCCCTTACAATTCCAGAAGTTAGGTATATACATGCTTTCAATGTTTTTCCCTTTTCATCTTTCTAAGTAACTCCTTCTCTTATTTGTCTTTTCCCAATTCTTATTTCTATCTCTCTAAAAATTCTGCTGTCCCTTGTGCCATCTGAGAACATTTTATACATTTTATATATTTCTCACCCAGTGGTAACACAATGTTAATTAGCTGATTTATTGCTTCTCCATTGCCGACTGCCAACAACTTGAAAGCAAGCCAGTTCAACTGCTTGTTTCCACCCACTGGTTGATTGGGGAGTTTCCTGGATCAAACGTGGGTAACTGACATTACTCCTGTGATCAGCAGGCTTCTCCCCCATTTCACCACTGCTTCAGGGGGTCTGAAACAGGTCAGAATTCAGCCCAGGAGATGGAGCCCCATCCTTCTGCTGCTGTCTCATCGCAGCATCAAGCTGGAAGTCGCAAAACAGTACATTTAGTAGACTTTCTTAAGCGCGGAAAGGTCTTCTTAGCCTAGTGTAAGGTAAAGATGTTCCCTTTTTTTTGGCCTATTGTTTTTTTTTCCCAAGTGGATCAGGACAAATGAATTTCTCCCTGATTCTAGGTATCTGAAAGAGAATCAATTGAGATGCAAGAGAAACTGGACTGCCTCCAGGAAGAAAAAGAGAGACTTCTCAATAGTTTAGTGGAGGCAGAGTGAGTACATTTTTGTAAAATTGCATCTGAATTCTTGTCTGATCTAACTGTCATTGTGCAGGCTTCTTTGTGAGCATCTTCTGCTTTAGAAAGGAGGAGAAATGAGAACCTCAATCTCGGTCTAGTCATTATGGCTCATATTTGCACATGTTGATACCTTCGAGTTGAGCTGAGAGCAGCCTCCATATCCAGAATAAATGGCAGGCAATTTGTTGATTGATTTCATCTTGCAGAGAGAGCAGATACATGTGCACAGTGTTTATGTGGGAGGTACATGTCCTTCTGTGGCAATTCAGTTGGAAAAAGGTCACATTCTTCATCATGGCCTCTGTGAATGCACACAAAAGGGTTAAGTCAGCACCTGCACTGGACTTCTCCGTCTTCTAGAACTTTTAAGAGAAAAGTAACAAAGTTTAGGTTGCCCCTATAGCGCATGATCCGCCCCCCTCAGCCCTCAGTTCCATTTATCCGCCACAAAAGCCTGAGCTTATTCTACACTTAGTCAGTGACAGATAGTGGGGAAGCTGGGTAGGATGTGTGAATTCACAGAGGTCCACTTGAAGAACCATGGATACAGGTAAGTAACCTGTCTTTCTTCATCGTGGCCTCTGTGAATGCACACAAAAGGGTGACTAGCACGCTCACTTACCGGAAGGAGGGTCATCACTGGAGGACGGATGTCAGCACCGCTCTACCGAAGCCTGTCTCTCTCTTAGCCTTGAGGTCTAATCTGTAGTGCGTTATGAAGGTTGATACACTGGACCATGTGGCTGTCCTACAGATGTCAGGCACGTCAATGCCACGTAATAGGGCTGTAGACGTAGCCACAGCTCTGGTTGAATGAGTTCAAAGGCCCTCAGGTGGAGTCTTATGCTGTAGCTCATATGCCAGTGAAATGGTGGAGACAAGCCATCTGGTGAGGGTCGAAGATGAAGCTGGAGAACCTTTCTTCCATCCATAGAAACACAGGCATAGTCTTTGGGTTTTACGGAAGTCCTTTGTATAGGATACATAAAATACTAGGGCTCTTCTCACATCTAGGGTGTGGAGCATGCATTCACCTCTCCCTCTCTCACAGATGTCTATTTCATTTTCTAACCATTTAAAGAGTAGAGTGTGTTGACAACACAGAGGCTGAGAGCCACCAAAATGTCTTTCCTGTTATTCTAGGAAGCTTTCTCTCCTTTTTCATTCTTTCAGGTGTCACATGATGCAGTGGGAAAAGAAGATACAGTTGGCTAAAGAGATGCGAGCAGCCGTGGACTCAGAAACTGGGCAGGGTGAGATCAGAGCCATGAAGACAGAGATTCACAGGATGCAGGTGAGGCTGGAAGTGTTAGGTAAGCAAAGTGGCTCACTGTCTGTCTAGCCTGAGGACACTTGCTTCCTAGCTATTCGATATTTTTGCTTTTCTCCTGCTCTGCAGACCTGCCTGTTGTTTTGTAACCTATAGGAGAGAAGGTCATATGCCATGCAGGTGGCATGCTTGGCTGGATTTTGAGTCACATAAGCTTTAAAATAAATAATGATGAAAACTAGTTTCTCAGAGTAAAAGCATATTTTTCAAGGACATTAACAGTCGAATTAGTGTAATTCCATTTGTGTTATGAGTACCATTCTGACTAGTAACTTTCTGATTGTAGGGTTCTAACACATCATGACTCCTGTCACCATTAGTATGATTCTGTAGTGATTCACTGAACATTCTTAAGCTCTACAATGGTTTGAAAGCCTGCTGCAGAATCCACGGGTCAACACAGTGCCCAGGTTGTACAAAGAGTTGGGCTGCTAGTGTTGACGTGTCCCTTGTGTCTTCTATTAATAGCTAGAAGGTTAGACATAGACGAATGAGGTCCATCCTGTGTGTAGTTTCCAGGCATTTTCAGTTTGTCTATTTCTCTTCTGCATTGCAGGTAAGGCATCAGCAGCTGATGAAACAGCAAGAGAAGCTTATGCGAGACATGGAGGCAGCTGTGGCCCGCCGAGAGACCATTGTGATTCGTGGTGAAGGCCAACAGAAACTTAATAAGCAAGTGCTCACCAAGGGTGATTTCCAGTATAAAAAACTGGAGCTGAAGAAGAAGATCAAAGAGACTCAGAAGGTCAGTAAAAAGGGTGGGTGAGTGGAAACAGCAGTAGCTGACTAGGGCCATGTTAGCTAGAAGGAATATCTTCTATTTCAGCTTTATTTTATAGTGCACGGTACAGCCATGTGTATAAAATAAGGCTGTATCTATTCAGCTCATTTTCTATAGCAGTCTGAAGACATGGTTTGGTCTCCTCTATATCCTGTTCCCCTGTCCTAACAAAGGTCTAGTTTCAGGCTGCCTAGTATGCAAATTAATGCCTTATTAAAGAGAAACAAAACTTCTGATAAAACTAAAAAAGGCCATGCGGTCCTTCGAATTACACAAATGCAAGAGTAGATGATATATTTATCAGGAAAATGGTCCCATTTACCTATTGGTCAGAAGGTGCAGATAACACCAAACTCAGTCGCTTCTTCCCATCTAAATTTCAGAAAGCTGTTTTGATTCTAAATTGGTGTCCGGTGTCAGTAATGGACTGGATGTGGGTGAATAAACTAAATCTTAATCCAGACAGGACACAAGTGCTTCTGATCAGTTGAAGAGCAGATCAGGGAATAGAGATCCAGCCTGTGCTGAACGGGTTACACTCCCCTGAAAACATAGGTATGCAGCTGGGTTATGCTCCTGGATTTGGTCCTGAGCCAACATTTGCACATGTTCATGTCTTCAAGTTGAGCTGAGAGGAGCCTCCATATCCAGAATAAATGGCAGGTAATTTGTTCTACTATTGTGGACAAGAATCCCGTAGAAGAAATGGAGTAGCCCTCATAGTCAACAAAAGAGTGGGAAAAGCTGTAATGGGATATAATCTCAAAAATGATAGAATGATTTCAATACGAATCCAAGGCAGACCTTTCAACATCACAGTAATTCAAGTTACTGCACCAACCACCGATGCTGAAGAGGCTGAAATTGACCAATTCTATGAAGACTTACAACACCTTCTAGAACTGACACCAAAGAAAAATGTTCTTGTCATTATAGGGGACTGGAATGTTAAAGTAGAGAGTCAAGAGATAAAAGGAACAACCTATAGGTTTGGCCTTGGAGTTCAAAATGAAGCAGGGCAAAGGCTAATAGAGTTTTGTCAAGAGAACAAGCTGGTCATCACAATCACTCTTTTCCAACAACACAAGAGGTGACTCCACACATGGAAATCACCAGATGGGCAATACCGAAATCAGATTGATTCTGTTCTCTGCAGCCAAAGATGGAGAAGGTCTATACAGTCAGCAAAAACGAGACCTGGAGCTGATTGTGGCTCTGATCAACAGCATATAGCAAAATCCAAGCTTAAA